TTGTTTTGCAAACAAGGTGATCAAAGGGTTAATGGAGAAAAGGTGATTAAAGGTCGGGGGGGGAGAATTATGACACAGAGCTGTCACCACAGCGTGCTTCAGAGAAAGAGGGCAGAAGGTGCAGTCTGAAATCACACTATTTATTTATTTTTCCCCCAAATGAGGTAAGAGCTGTGGCTTGCTGGCAAAGCAACACACCGTATTTCATTTAAACCTAGCAGCTCGCCTCTTCTCACTGGCAGAGCTCTGGCAGAGAACTGTGGGCTTGGGTGTGCTGTAAAAGAATTTATTTATTTGGAATTACAACAACAATAAAAAACCCCCAAACAATTATCCCAGGGTGAAGGCGACTCAATACGTCATCGATAATGCTGTAAAATCCCCACCATGTTAAAGTAATAATTTAAACAGCAGCTTCACCAGGTCCTACAGGGCTTCCTTCCTGCCTGCCTCTTCATCACTGTAGGCTCTAAATATGATCCACCCCTTACAAACACCATTGAACTTCTACCCCAAAAAGACCCCCCCTGAAGGCGATAAAATACCCCCACTCCATCTCCGTAGCCCAGGGCCATAGCTGCTGCGCTGCTTTGAGGCAGAAGGGGCAGCGCTGGGGTGAGCCCCTGGCTCCCCTGCCTTCTCCTCCTTTTCCTCCTCCTCCTCCCGCGCAGCCCTCACCGGGGCGGTGGTGCATCCAGCCCAGGGAGCCCACGCTAGGGCTTTCCAACCAAATGCTGGCTCTCAGGGAGCGGGGGCGGAAGGCTTAGGGGCAGGAGCCGCTGGAGCGAGAGGGAGCAGGTCAGCTGCGAGGAGTGTTACAGCAAGATGGCATGGTGCCGCGGCGGGAGGAGGAGCAGGAGTTGCTGGGGTTAGCAGTCAAGCACCAAGACGGGAGCGAGGCAGAGCCGGCAGTGAGACCTCCGGCCTCGGTGTTTGCCCGGAGAGGAGGTACGGATGCCTGGGCCTCCCTCTCCTTTTCTTAGCTCGCTTTTGCACTTGCTCATAGGAATAAGTCCAAATGCTGTCAATAAGGCGGGGGGGGAGAACTCTGCCCAGGCAGAGTTCACCTCAGAGCCGACGAAGGCAGGTTTGCAGGAGCGCAGCTTTGGCCCAGCGCTGCGCGTTAGGCCGGCAGGCACGGGAGGAGAGGGGACAAGCAGCAGGGCCCGCTTCCGGTTCCTGCCCTGCCGCTGCCTGCTTGCTGCCAGATGTCCCCTCCAGGCCTGAAATCCAGAGCCCAGGAACAGCGGTGGACAGGGCTGCGTAGGGTTTTCTTTTCATCCTACGTTTGGCTTTTCCTCTGGCAGCCTTCCCTCACATTAGAGGCAATGGTTTCTGCTGAAAGTCCCAAAGCATTCTCCTGCAGCGAAAGCTTCATCCCCTCCTGCCCGCGGCACAGCTCAGCACCATCGTCTGCACCTTGTACGCGGGGAAACCAAGGCTGAGGATGGCCCGGGTTCCTTTCTCTACGTCTAGTTTCCGTCCATCTGTCTGTAGCTGGTTGTTACATAGCTGCTGGCCACTGCGTGAGAACTGGAAACACATCTGTAGGAGCTAAAAATGGTACAGTCGCTAGAAGACCTCAGGTGCCAAACCTTGCTATGGTATGTTTACCAGAGGGCAAGGGCAGCTAAAGGGGCATGGCAGCAAGATTTTTTTTTTGTCCATTTGTGTCAATGGTTTGAACTGGTGCTAAGATCAATAGTTCCTGTGTCCCTGCAGTGATCGTGCAAGGCATGACCGTCACCACTAGCTGGTCCTCTCATCAGCTGCATGATGAGAGGACCGTCTAGAACGTCAAGAAATTAAACCTGAAACTGTAAGGAAAAGCAAAATGGATGGATCGCAAATCGCTTATTAGCGTTCACTGATGCTGATGGTAATGCTTTCAATAAGCCTAATGAAAAACATTTGACTGTCTCTGTGAACTTGATTATTGATTATTAGTGAATGATAAGAGTCATTTGATACCTTGCTGATGCCATGCTCCTATTGCATTGCAGTTAAAATGTCAGTTAACGTGCCATTTAATATTCTATTAGTATTGAATTAGCACTTATTACACTGTGAAAATCATCACCATAAATCCTTATTAAAGTGTGATCCATACAGCTGGGTGGCATCTCTGGCAGACTAAGAGGGTGTGTGTGCGCAGACGGACGTACTGAGATGCATCATCCACGTGGATGCGTGTTCGGAGCACGCCAAGGCTTGGAATTTCCATGTTTGTACATTGATTTTCCCTGACAGTTTGAGAGGAACAGGTATGCAGAACAGAGCCGCTCAAATCCATTTAACTTGCTCTTCCTGTTTTTCTCCTTTCCCTCTCCTCTCTCCTCCTCGCTTTATTTCGGTAGCACCTGATAACTTATTTCAGGGGCACTTGAAAGGTTGTCTGACTGTAGCTGTGGACCACTGTCCTAGGGCTGACCTTGGCCGTGTAGGACAAGTTATCACACATGTTTTCTCTTTGACTGAGAGGAGGGAGGGTCCTTGGGCGAGTGTTCCCTCGGGAGCGAGAGGACGAGTCTTTGCTCCAGCCGCGCCGCTGAGCTGTTACTGACCCTAGGGGCATTGCAGGGGCATCTTTGCTACCTCCAAGCAGAGGTGTGTAATGACTGGGTGCGGGGCAGAGCCCTGGGGTGCTGCGGTGTATCCCGTAGGTGTAGGTATGGAAGGGAGCCCGGTGGGGCTGGTGCGGTGCACTGGATCCGCTGGTGCCCAGCAGCACTGATAGGTGTGCTGGGGGATTTTCCGAAGTGACTAAGAAACTCCAGCTCCCACTGACTTCAGCTTCAGCGGTTTATCTGCTTAGCTTCTCATGGCCATCCCCCTTGGGATTTTCACCAATCCAAAATGTTCAGAGACAGGCTTTGAACACCCTTGAAAACAGCCTGACGCTTGATCCTCGGTGCTGCTACTACTCTTCGCAGAAACATGTGCAAGAGAAGGCTGGTGACCTATGGCAGCTGGCTCTGGAGATAGTCTGGGTGTCCCCATAGGGCCACTACTCCCAGCCCTGGGGCACAGTGCCCTCCCCAGGTCCTCACTTCCAGCTCCCGTTGCTGGTCATTACAGCCTGGGATGGACAGATGAACTGGGGCACCTCCATGTCGCCGTGGTGCCGGTTTCTACATCTAAGTGGCTGCTCATGGATTCCCCTGCCTCCTTCTTTTTTACAAAGAGCGGCTTTTTAAAAACAAAACGCAAATCACAGCTGAGAGCACACCTCAGGTCAAGCGCCTGCCTGTCTGAGCGGGTGGGCTCTGGCCTGAGGGGCAAACCCTCGCTCCCCTCCCTTGGCTGGATGGCAGTGGTGCTGTCTGGGGTCTGTTGGGCTGCTCTCTAAAGCAAATGTTTGTCAGATCAGACAGAGCTGCTTCCAGTTTGGCCATCAGCGTGGTGTGCCTCCCATCGATGCCCACACAGCCTGGCTTTCCTCCTGCCCACAAGTAACCCCAGAACAACTCAGAGAGCATCTATGGGCATGCCGAAAGGGAGGGGGTGAGAGGTGCTGGCCATAATGGTAGGGTCACATCGCAAGGGACGGCAGCTGCAGTGCAGCATGAATGAAACGCATTCAGAGAGAGGAACTTGGAAAATGTCTGACCCGTGTGAAGAGGCTGTATGAAAGCCTACTGTCAAATATTTGTCTTATCTTAAAGCGATAATCTTTATCCCCTTTCTTTGCTCTCTTAAATACAACACATGCATGAATAGTGGTGGGGAGGGGTGCTGGGTTATTTGGATGCCAGGAGGCTGTGGGCAGAGCACTGAGAGGCAAAGGGGCAACAGCTCTGGAGACTGAGCTTCCCTATTTATCTGCAGAGCAAACATGGCGTGAGCTGCTGCAGGGCAAACCCTCTCAGCCTGTCTGAGCCTGGCCCTGGTGGGTACAGCTGCCAGGGTGAAAGAGGAGGCATGTCCACATGTTTTCTTCAGCCCTGGACTTTTCAAATGAGACACAGCGGAGGGCGAGCAGAGTATGCGTCCTTGTTGGCACCTCCTCATCTCTTCTGTGCGCACCACTTCCTGGAGGTGGGAAGTGGTGCAGAGCAGGTGGCTTGGCCAGAGTGCAGTTGTCTTTGCAGCACCTTCACTGCTCTCTGTCAAGGAGCAAAAACCTCGTCCTTGCAGTTGCAACAGGGCTTGTCTGTCCTCTGCCTTGCAACGGTTGGCAGTCAGGGATGTGGCTGGTCCTGCTGCTGTCCCTCTGCCTGCTGCCCCCAGCTGTCATTCCTCCTCTCCTGTCTGTCTCACCTGGGATGTTGACAGGACATGCCAAGTGTGTCACAGAGATGGCAGTGACTCCCCTGCAGACTTTCCTTTTCAGCCCGAAATCCACACTTGCCTGCACAAGCGGGCAGATGTGCATCGGCAAGGCGGGGGGGGGGGAGTGCTGGAGGGGGGTGTTTGAGGAGTGAATCTCTTTCCACAAAGCTGTTTTTTGTCAAGGGGATGGAGAGGGGAGATACACTATAGCTCCTTCCCCTTGTGCTGCTGAAACTAAAGGATGGAGCAGCTGTGCCCTGAGATGACAAAGCTGGAGCCCTGAACCTCTGCCCTCCAGGCTGGCAGGGAGCTGGGAACATAACTCTCTTGTGTACTTAACTTCTGCAAGTGAGGAAGAAATATGGGAAGAACTCCTTCTGACTTCTGATTTCCCACTGGCAGCGTTAGAAGGGATTTCATGACCAGGATCTCTTGTGGCCTTCCAAAGTCATTTTTGGTGAAGATCTAGGCCACAGACAAAACAAAGAGGAGGCATGGCTGCCCAAAATCCCATGATTTCATGAATCAAAGGGTTCCTCAAACTCTTCAAACAATCATTGTGAAATACGTATTTCACACGCGACAGTGATGGTGAGGAGATGCTGTGGTTCACTGGCAAGGCAGATGTGTGCTATGGAGTTTCTGAGCAAAGTAGTAAAGGGAAGGGACAACATAGAGATGATGGAGAGGTTTGTTAATCTCCCCCCCACCTTTCTCATCCTCTGCAGGTGTTATGTAGAAGACAGAAGCTCCAAGGTGGCCTGGTTAAACCGTTCCGGCATAATTTTTGCTGGAGAGGATAAGTGGTCCCTGGACCCTCGAGTAGAGCTGGAGAAGAGAAACCCCCTGGAATACAGCCTGCGGATCCAGAAAGTTGATGTCTACGATGAGGGGTCCTATACGTGTTCAGTGCAGACACAGCATCACCCCAAGACTTCCCAGGTTTACTTGATTGTGCAAGGTAAGCAACGTGCCTGAGAAAAGAGGAAGGAGTGAAGGACACAGTGGGTGGACTGGTCTGTATCTTAAAAGAAACCCCAGGGTCAATAGCCTGTGTATCCTTTACAGAATGCTGTAAAGGATACTAAAGCCTATCCCTTTAGTTTACAACAGGAGCCAGCAGGCCTGTCCCCTTCCACTGCAGCGTAACATGGCTTGACTCTGCTGTCAGTCTGTCCTTTCAAAAGTGGTGACAGAGCAGGGCACACCAATGAAGCCAAGACATATTCTAGTGTAATACAAACCTGGCTCCTGGCTCTGGTTATTCTGGCACTGAGGGGAAAGCATTTGTTTATAATGACACTTGTCAGAACATCATGCTTGCCTCGTCTCTTTCCAGACAGCCCTCTTATTTCTTCGCCTCCTACTTCCTCAGATTTCCTTTCTTTTCTCTTGTGTCTGTTGTTGTTTCTCTTGTGTCTGTTGTCTTGTAGCTTGTTGCTGCTGTGCTGTGTTTTTTGGCCTTCCGTTGTCAATTCTTTGCAAGGCTGGGGAATTAATTTTCCTGTGTGTTTTTCTGTACTGGGTCATTGGTTTGCAGGGTGCGCTGTCACTAGGCATGTGTGAAACCTGGTGCCTGAGGTAGCTGCCATGTACCGTATGTTGCCCTCTCCTTTTTTAGCTACCTTCCTCCTGTGTGTGTTATAGGGAGCTGGAAACTTGGCGATCTGAACCAGCATTGTCCTATCTGTCTGCCTGCATTCATGGTATAACAGAGAGTAAACACATTAAGGATTTCACCAATTACTGGTAAGGACATTATGGAGTTTACTTGTTCCATCCTGTCCAGACCAGAATAGCAAACGACTGAGTTTACTCAATTTTGGGTTTTTTTGCTTTTAATCTTCATGCCATTCTGTCTATCTGCCTATTTGTCTAAAATATTTATAAAGCAGCTTAGATGGATAGGTATGTATGAATGTGTTCAATACATATTACAGATATGTTCAGCTTCTACATTATCATTCAGTCAGGAGTTTGTTATTTCTCCTGATTTGTCTAGTAACCCAAAAAGACTGCGGATTTTATTTCCCCCAGCGAGTGTTTGAATCGCTCTGGATATAAATGCATGCATGAAGGGACATTTCCTCTTGCTGGTATTACTTGGCAAGCTTGGGGCTAACCAGCGTACCAAGCGTTCATCTGCAAGGTGAAGTCCGGGCGTACGGTCAGAGGTGATGCTTTACGCACAAGCGCAGTGAGATAGAAGGCTCCTGGTTTGTCTTGCGCAAAATCCTCTCCCAGCAACGTGAAGAGCAGTGGGCGCCAGCAGGCAGAGAGGCATTCCCGGCTCATCTGAGTGTTTGCTGGAGTGCGCCCGGTGCGAAATGCATTCGCCAGCACTGGAGGTGTACCCTGCCTCACTGCTTGCTATAGCGGTGCGTAGCTAACCGGCTGTAGGTGGTTTATTGCTGGCAAGATTTGTCAGCATACAATACCCATTTACCTGTCAAGAAAAATACAGGTACAAATGAATTTTAGAGCCACACACATGTATTATTAATATTATTTGTGCATGTTAGATATGGGCCTAAGCAGTGAAATTGAGTTCTCCAGCTAAGCTTTCACGTAAATTTGTGGATGTCCAGCTCTGAACTCCTGCCACCTTTCTGAGGATGAGAAGATTCAGGTTTCATCACACCTAAACTCTGGGTACCTGTAAACAAGGTATCGTGGATTATCTTTTTAATGCCTGCCACAGATTTAGCGAAAGACCCACTGTGATATTGTGCTTACTTTCAAAGCCCCAGGTCATGTAATCCTGAGAATTAGACTCATGATTTTAGCCATGTTTTTATTGGTTTAAAACTAAGAAATAATTCAGTTTAAATAATCTTAACTAATAAACTTAATTCATTAGAAAACAGTATATGTTAGGAAATATCCCGTTCCTCTCTGAGTATCCTTGTCTCGTATTGATTATTACTATTCTCAGATTTGCAGGTTGTCTGCCTGAAAAATAGTCTGCCGCTAGTACAAATGAAAAGAATTTGGATACTGAGTCATGCTAAGCTTTCCAGTTTTATTTATTGAATGTAGTTCATTTACTTCTCTTGGTTTTGTGTTCATAAATTTAAAAACATTGGCTATGTGAAGCTCTGGGCATCCCAAACCTAAAAATAATACATAAAAGAAAATACAGGTCCTGAAAAATTAAACAACAGGGTGGTCAACTGATCTGCATGGTAATCTGGCAGGAGGATTTCAGGAACGATGGTCAGCGATTCCCTTCAAACAAAGCCAGGGAAACAAACAAGCCAGAGTCAGAGGGTCCTTGCTAGCTTTGCACAGACTGGTGATCCCTGGATTTATCAGGGAAAGATCCTGCAGTGGTAGCTGCTTGTGCCCTGGAAGCAATGGGCTCGCTTAGGGCCATCCCCAGGCTTCCCATTCTGCTCAGTTAGCACTGTCACAAGTATCTCTGCTCCCCACTGCTCTGTATACCAAAGACGGGTCCTTAATCTCCCCCAGTTCAGCTCCCTCATGTGTATAGCCACTGTGAAAACACAGTCCCTGCCACCCCTAGAAACAAATGGAATAGCTATATCAGAGACTAGCAAGTAGGCAGATACCAGAGTGGTGCTGGAGCCCTCATAACTAGAGAAGACCAATTCCATGTCTACAGTGCCAGCTGAAATACATGGGCTTTGATGTATCCTAAGGGTTCACTGCATTTAGATCACTGCAGGCTAATGGAGTTGCATTCTAGGAGCGGGTTCTTTCCTCCTTCAAGAAAATCAGCTTTCCCTGGGGTGAGCTCTGCTCGGTGAACTCTGCTGCCCAGAGCTGCAGGAGTATATACAGAAAGAGGGACATCACCTCTCTAATATGTGTGCCCATGTCCTTTAGTATTGCCAAGGTAAGAGCCAATTCTGACTTGTCAGCCAGCACAAGCCTGCATCGACAGCCTACTTAGTCTGCTCCTTTCCTCTCTGGCTTAAGTGTGTATGTCCACTGATGGAATAGCTCTCAACTGGGGCATACTGCAGAGGTCTAAAAGAAGGGTAATGAAAAGACGCTTAAAAAAAATCACAACTTGATAGACAGCTAAAAGTAGAAAAAATCCTCTTATAAGTCTTTCCTCCTTTTCAAACTCAAAGCCATCTCCGCTGATAGAAGTAGGCATTCACTGGCAAAAGATTCATTAGCATAACTGTGGCCGTCTCTTCGGTCTTTCTGACCCAGGGGGGCAGCACTTCTTGTAGGGTGGGTTGAACTGGAGGCAGCTGTCTCTGCCCAGCTCAGTTGCTACCAGATGCTGGTACTGCACTCTCTGCACTGGGGTTAATGCATGAAGAGGTGCTCTGAACTGCCACTCACTCAAAGCATTTCATGCTGCCTCAGTTGGGGTGTAATGGCTACTAGCGACTCTTTCCGTTTACTACCCCAGATGTTTTTGTTGGGGTCTGATCAGAGGAGCAAAGGAAGGACCCACCAGATGTGGTCTGGTCCTCCCCCATGCAGTGAGACAAGATCAGCTGTACAGTGGCTGCCCCTAACATGTCTTTTTTGAAGACACCCTGTGCCTGCATTGCCAAGTGCATGGCCATTATTTCACTCTCCTTGCACATGGAAAACTTCTATTAACATATGATCCATTAACATATGATTTTGCTGCCAATTATTTCTGGTCCTTCAAAGACACATTGTGGTCATTTCTCCTTCTCTTCCCCAAAACTGCCTTTTACTTACTAGAAGCCCATTAACGCCTGTGTCCCAGTCCTCTCTAGTCCAGCTTAACAGGCTCACTACTTGTTGCAGGTTGTATTTTCCAACCCTTATGTCATAAATATTTCACTACTGTCTGATTAGTCTGCATGTTTCCTTAAGTGTACTGTCCAAAACTGAAGCAAGAGTTCCAGTTTAGGACTCAGTTGGGCAGATAAATGTACCAGCCATGTTTTGCATATCATGCTTCACTTCCCTAGCCCCAGAATAAGATGAGGTTTACCTTTTTTTATGAGTGCCTCATTGCTTTCACTTATTTAATCTCTTTGCTTCTCTCTAACTCTCTGCTACTGGCCTGCAGCACAGTCTGCAGCTCAGTTCCCACTTCTGTATTTGAGCATTAATTGTTTTTTCAGCCCTTCTGGAGCATAGTGCTTTGTGCTCGCTGCTGTTGGATGCCATCTAGTTGGTTTCTCCATGGAGACCACTTCTTCAGTTTACTTATGATCCTGGTCTCCAAAGCACTTGCAACTGCCCCCAACTTGGTGTCATCAACAGAAGTCAGGTGCCTTCTTTCTGTTCCATCATGAAGGTGTTAATTAAAGTACTGAAGAGATCAGAGCACAAAAGCAGACTGTGGTAGCAACCCACTAAAACCTCCATCCCCAGCGGATAGTGATCCGTGGATAGTGATAGTTGATTGCAGCTCTTTGAAGCATCCTGATAGTGATTTAACATCCACCATGTTCTCTCAGCTTGCTCAAGAGACTGTCGGGCCTTCTGAAGTCAAGGTATATCACATTATCACACATACTGCTCCCACATTATCTGCTGTGACAGATATCTTACCAAAAAGAGAATGAGGCTGGAGTGACATGATATGTGCTTGCCAAAAGTACATTGCATATTTTTTCCTTTATTTTATTATTATCCTCTAGGTGTTTACAAATGAGATGTTTAATCATTTGTTGCAGTATGTTGACTAATTTGTTACAGGAGAATGAGTCGTAATGAGGACGCAGTGGCTGACCCTTTCCCAGCGTTACCTTGGGTTCTTCTTTTAGGGCTGTATCCTAGAGCCCTTCTCAGGCATTAAGTGTCGGTGGAGAAATGCCTGTAGTCCCTACTTGTCTCATCAGGGTCACAGGCACAAAAGCACAGAGATCTTAGCAGGCATGGAGTTTAAATGTTTCTGTAGTAAAGACTTAGGCTTGCCCAAGTCATGCTAAAGGAATAACTCTTTCAACTAGGAGCAAGCAGGTGGTTGCTGTATTTGCTGTCCAGAGCCTTTAT